TTCCCGCCGCAATCAGAATTGGGTCTTAAATTAAGGTGCGTGAAAGCGCGCTCCATAAATACAGTTTATTATGTATCCTGACATCACAAGTAAAAAGACCCCAAAGCGTTCATTGGCTGACCCACGGAAGCATGCATTGTTAGAAATGGCGTCATTTATATACATCAACAAGACTATGATATGAAGGCATGCTATGGGTCATTTCTTCTTTTTCTCAACATCGCTTGCTGTATAAGGTAAAGACGACTTTCATCAGTAAACTTGTTCTCACACTGTATTGGTGTAGCCTACCATTAGTAAAGAGAGGGGAGATCGGAGGAGCAGAAAAGCGTGGAGATAGTGTGAAGTCACGATTTTCTGCTTCTGAACGCTTGGACTTCTGATTGTGGAAGAGGCAGGGTAAGTAAAAATGTCACTGTTGTTGTTATTGTTGTTGTTGTTGCTGTTGTTATTGAGGTTGTGGTGGTTGCTGTAGTTATGGTGTTATGACTGTTGTGGTTGTCATTTTGTTGATGTATTATTGTTTTCATTGCTGTTGTGATGTTAACATTCATGATGATGATGATGATACTATTATAGTCTGAACAATACCAAATGGACACCTTGTCGACCTCATTACACAGAAACTAAGTGGCGAATTGTCCTGAATTTTTGCATGTGCCTTTGAATTTTATTTAAAAAACCAACAACAAAAAACCTAAAGAATCTAGACTTTCGTGCATATGCTACAAACATAAAAAGAGGTATTTTCTATATAATCATTACTATTTGATTGCAGTGTGGCAGGGATTTTTTAATAGACCAAGAACGGTAGTTAAGTGTTAGTTTTTGTTTTGTTTGTTGCAATCTGTTTGTTTTGTTTGTTGCAATCTGTTTGTTTTGGGGGTTTTTTAACTGACTGCATGCACCGCATGACTGAGTTGATTTCAGTAAAGTGGTTAGTGGGTGACAGTGGGTTTATTTTGATTGACTCATTGTCATATATAATGAGTAGAATTTCTTTCATATCTTCCGTCATTAAGATCGCATGCGTTTCAATTTGCTGTCGCTTTTTTTTTTATTAATCACCATGGTTAGATTACTTAATTTACAAACACAAAAAACGTTGCCTTAAAACTACTGAACTATCTCTCCAAAGAAGCTGATCGAGGCCGTCTCCTTTAATCTATAACAAATCCCGCAAAAAGGACAAGACATGTATGTGTAAAAG